TTTCTGGACCACTTGGGGAAGTTCTGATCCTTTGGGGGGGTTCTGGATCTTTTGGTTTTGGACTTTTTGGGGGGTTCTGGACTTTTGGGGCAGTTCTGGACCTCTTGGGGGAATCTGGACCTCTGGGTTCTGGACTTTTTGGGGGATTCCGGACTTTTTGGGGGACTTTGTAACTCTTGGGGGGGTCCTGGACCTTTGGGTTCTGGACTTTTGGGGGGGTTGTGGACTTTTTGGGGTACTCTGGAACTCTTGAGGGGTTGTGGACCATTTGGTTCTGGACTTTTAGGGGGGTTCTGGACGTCCTTGGGGTTTTTGGACCAATGGGGGGTTTTTGGACCTCTTGGGGGAATCTGGACCTCTGATTTCTGGACTTTTAGGGGGTTCTTGACCTCTGTGGGGGTTCTAGATCTCTTGGGGGGTTCTGGACGGGTGGCAGAGCAGCAGGATACTCACATCGTAGCGGAGCAGAGGGAAGTCCGGGCCGGTCCGGCCCGACCCGGCCCGCCTCGACCCGGTCCGGCCCAGCCCGCCCCCCAGCGTGAGCGGGCAGAACATGGTGCTGTGGCCGGACATGTGCAGCGCGCCCAGGGCGCCGTTCAGCAGGCCGTACGCCGCCATCAGCGGGTTCTGGGGGCAGAGACACCATCAGAGGTCCGGCAGAACCAACAGAACCGGCAGAACCGGGACTCACCGCGGGGGGGCGGCCGGCCGGCACCAGCCCCCAGGTCAGGAGGCCCCGCCCCCCGTAGGAGTCCTGCAGCAGCTCGGTGAGTCTGGAGCCCAGACCCGAGAAACCGTCAGACAGGTCCACCAGAACCTGGAACCCCTGGAGGAGAGAGCACAGCCTGAGGGGAGCCGGGCCGGGAATTTTGGGTCGGGTCCGGTTGGGTCGGGTCAGGAAGGTTTGGGGGGTTCTGGACCTTCGGGTAAAGCTAGGTCGGGTTGGATCGAATCTGGTCTGGCCGTACCGGGTTCAACTGGGTCGGGTCAGGTTGGACCGGGTCTGGAGCTTTGAGGGGGGGTTCTGGACCTGTTGGGTAAGGCCAGGCCGGGTCAGTTTGGATCATACTGGGTCGGGCCAGTCGGGTTGGACGGGCAGTACCGTGTCAGGTCTGTTTGGACCCTATTGGGTCGTCTGGGCCCTACAGGTTCAGCCCCTACCGGGTCGTTCAGACCCTACCGGGTCGGGCGATACCAGGTGGTTTTGACCCTACCAGGTCGGGCGGTACCAGGTGGTTTGGGCCCTACCAGGTCGGGCCCTACCGGGTCAGTTTGGCTCCTACCAGATCGGGTGGAACCAGGTGGTTTGGGACCTACTGGGTCAGGCCGTACCAGGTCAGTTTGGATTGGGCCTTATCGGGTCGTTTGGGCCCTACCGGGTCGGGCGGTACCGGGTGGTTTGGGCCCGGCAGACCTACCTGCAGGTAGTCACACTCCTCCACAAAGAAGTGCAGGCGGTCCTCCAGCTCCTCCAGCAGCGCCCCCTGCAGGACGGCCTCGCCCTGCCCAAAGGCCTCCAGCCGGTCCGCCTCCCTGCGACACACTGCTGCTCAGGCCCGGTTCAGCGGCCCGGTACCGCCCGGTTCTGGACCGGGCAGCGGCACCGGACCGTTTTAACCACAACTAAGCAGCTGATTGGAGCCGGGAAGGCAGCGCAGGCCTCTGATTGGCCGAGCGTGATGTCACTGGATGAGTCATAAAGAGGCCCGTTGACCAGAACCGGCCCGCAGAGACAAGGACCAGAACCCAGAACCACCAGGATTCAGAACCGGACAGAACAGACCTGTTTTGGATTATTTTTTTATTGTTAAAAATTTGATTACTAATAAATTATTTTTTGTTTAATTATTAAAAGTGTGAATATTCATGTATGTATTTTTAATCTAATTATTCAAAATGTGATAATTCATTTAACTATTATTTATCTTTTATCAACAAAAATGGTATTACCAATTTAACTATTTATTTTGTATTATTTAAAATGTGATTGTTAATTAATTCATTATTATTTATTTCTTATTAACATATGTTTATTGATTTAATAAATATAAAATTATTAACGTTTGAGTCCAATTTACTGAAAACAGTTGGTTCTGGTCCAATTAAACATCCTAAACCAGGAGGGACGGCCATTTTTCTGGGGGTCGAGGGGACAGCAAAGTGGTTCTGAAGCCCCTTTGCACAGGCCCGGCTCAGTCCAGAGGGTCTTTGTGGTTCTGGTTCTGGTCCTGGTGGTTCTGGTTCTGTCGGTTCTGGTGGTTCTGGTCCTGGTGGTTCTGGTTCTGTCGGTTCTGGTCCTGGTGGTTCTGGAGGTTCCTCACCCGTCGTGGTTGTACTGGTGGATGACGGCGATGCTGCGGGGGTGCAGGTGGATCCGCAGGAAGTCGGACCAGACCCTGACGCTGGACTCCAGCTGGTACCCCCTCTGGACCCGGGCCAGGCGGGCGCCAACCGGGTCCACCAGGTCCGGGTCCAGCGGGTCACTGCAGAACCGCTTCGGGGAAGGGTTCCTTGCCGGGTCGGGGAGGGCCGGTTCTGCCAGGATCTCCCCGTTCTGGACAGAGAGAAGTAGGTGATGCGACCCGGTTCAACCCAGTTTGACCCGGTTCGACCCGGTTCCGCTGGGTACTCACATCCAGCCGGTCCAGGTCCTCCAGGAAGAGGTTCTTCTCTGGAGGGCTCTCCTGGTGCATCATGAGGCTCCCCGACCTGAAACGGACCGGGTCAGACTGACCGGACCAGAGTCCTCCTGGTCTCTGGAGCAGATCAGAGTCCTGCTGGTCTCCAAAGTATTACTGGTCTCTGGAGTCCTGCAGGTCTCTGGACTGGACCAGAGTCCTGCTGGTCTCCGGAGTCCTGCAGGTTTCTGGACCGGACCAGAGTCCTGCGGTTCTCTGAAGTCCAGCTGGTCTCCAAAGTCCTGCTGGTCTCTGGAGTCCTGCTGATCTCTGGACTGGACCGGAGTCCAGCAGCTCTCTGGAGTCCTCCAGGTCTCTAAACCCGACCACAGTCCTGCTGGTCTATGGAACAGACCAGACTCCAGCGGGTCTCCGAAATCCTGCTGGTCTCCAAAGTCCTGCAGGTATCTGGACTGGACCGGAGTCCAGCAGGTCTCTGGAGTCCAGCAGGTCTCCAAACCCGACCACAGTCCTCCTGGTCTCTGGAGTCATGCAGGTCTCGGGGCCCTAGGGGGGGGGGCTCACCATGTGGGGGCTCCTCCTTGGCCGTGGCCGTACAGACTTCCCTCCTGGCGCAGCGTCCGCAGGCTCCCTGCACAGAGAGCGCGCTCAGAAGCCAAATCCACGCGCACACCCGAACCACGTGACTACCTTTGAGGTCCATGGCGATGAGCCGCGGCGTGTAGGTCACGTGACCGGCCGGGGTCTGGCCCTCGCGGAACACCGCGTCGCTCTGGATCTCCGCCGGAGGAGAGTCCGGGTCGTAGGACAGGGACGCATCCTGCACAGGAGGAGGTCCAGCGGGTCAGCCGGAACCGGGACGCCGCTCGGAACCAGAACATGCTTGCAGCAGAACCGGCTAACACCAGAACCAGAACCTGTAGCTGAACCAAAACCTGAGCAGAACTAGCTAACAGCAGAACCAGGACCTGTAGCTGAACCAGAACCTGAGCAGAAGCATCTAAAACCAGAACCTGCTAACAGCAGAACCCGAACCTGAAGTAGAACCAGCCAACAGTAGAACCCAAACCTGAAGTAAAAAACCAGCAAACAGCAGAACCAGAACCAGCTAACAGGAAAACCAGCCAAAAACAGAACCAGAGCCTGTAGCTGGACCAGAACATGCAACAGAACCAGCTAGCAGCAGAAAAAGAACCTGTAGCAGAACTAGATAACAGCAGAACTAGAACCTGCAACAGAACCTTTCTAACAGCCGAACCAGAACCTTTAGCAGACCAGAACCTGTAGCAGAACCAGCCAGCAGTAGAACCAGAACCTGCAGCAGAGCCAGCTAACAGCAGAACCAGAACCTGTAGCAGAACCAGCTAACAGCAGAACCGGAACCTGCAACAGAACTAGCTAACAGCAGGACCAGAACCTGTAGCTGAACCAGCTTGGTTCTGCAGGTCCACCTGTTTCATCTTTGGCCTAAAACAGAGTCCCTGGTCCTTCGTGTAGTTTTTGGGCTTTAGGGAAACATTTGCGTTAACGTTCAGCTGATGACGCTCCTCTCATAGAAACGGGACATCTAGCCCGTATTTAGTGGTCAAACCCACTTCACGCCCCTCTCATGTGTGCTCAGGTTCATGAAGTCAGTCCAGAACCAAATTATCTGAAAATATGTGAACGGAAATTCAGTAAAGAAACATCTCGGACCAGGAATAAACGAAAAAATACGACATTAAAGTCGCTTAAATGTGAAGATAACTGTCCCAAACTAAATCAGAGGTCTCTAAAAGACGGGAGGCTAAATGTGGAGGCTCGGTTCGGTGAGAAGATGCTGACAAGTGACATTTAATGCAGCATCCTCCGTCCCCTGCCCGGGTGGAGCTCTTCAGATGCGTATAACCAGGAGTTAATCTCACTTTAACTCATTTAAAGTTGTAAATAACTTTAGTCTGGCTCCTTTATCACAACAAACCCTCAACGTGTCACACGGCGGATGAGCTACACACAACATGCGAAGCTAACCACGGCTAGCTAGTTTAGCGTTAGCCGCCGTGACTTCTTCACCTGTAAATTCCACCAGTGGGTCCCCACGAAGTTGGAATAATGTCCAAGCTGCAGCGTGATGATTTCTCTACAGACGCTGCTCATCGTGGCGGCCTTCAATAATCTGGGAACCGCGGAAAACACATAACATCGCTCATGTTCAGAGCGCTTCCGACGGCAACGGCCCTGAACGCACCACTGGGAGAGGGCAGCTGCTTCCTATTGGCTGAGAGAGGCAGTATGGCGGAATGTGATTGGTGAGAGGAACCGCGTCACGCTGGTAGTTTGTCTTCACCGTGCCACTGATTCACGTGCAACTTCATAAATAAACATGGTAAAGACGAGAAAATGTGATCAGAGAAATTATGTAAATGGAAATAAATTCAAATTAGATATAATTAAAAACAAAGAAAATGTCAATAATCTAATCGAAATCTAATCGAATCTAATGCGAAAAAAACCCTGATAAACAATAAGCCGTTAAATGTATGAACATTACAATTACATAAAAGATATGGAAGCTAGATGTTATGAGTTTAATTAACATTTAAATTAACACATTAAAAACATGCTAAACACACTTCAAACAAACTTCAGACTAAAGAAACCAAAAACACTCTAAATACACCGAAGGGACACAAAAACACACTTAATGAAAAATAAACAAACTTCTGAGATTCTAAACATACTTTATACATGCTAAAAACACACAAAAAATGTCAAAAACACAATTAATAAAAATTAAACACACTTCAAAGACACACTAAAAACACTCTAAATACACTAATACACACTTCAAACACTACATAAATATTAAACACATTTCAAACAGACTTCAAACATTTAAAACCCTGTGAACACACTGAAGCCTTCATATCTCCACCCATCTAATCCCACATCTTTTCCCTTCTTCTCGGCAACCAAATTCCCATTTACCAGATAATTTTCTGATTGGTTGATGTGGAGCTTTTTCCCCAATGAGAAAAGGGGAAGTCCTGTTCCTCAGCTATTGATTTTCTAACCTGAAATCAGATGAACTTGTAACCGTTGTGTTATGGAGAGACTCAGATGTGTTTTCTTCTTTCAAATTAAATCATTTCTATGACTTTTGGTCACCAATTTCTGGGCAGCTGCGGCTCAGGAGAGAAGCAGTCGCTGCCTCTGAAAGGCCAGAGGTTCGACTCCCAGGGCCCCATGTGGGAGCATCATCTAGAGGAGATGCAATTAAACCCACCGATGTATCAGTCTGGGAATAAATGTCAGGGAGAAAGTCCCGAGGGTTAGAGGTGGATAAGGAAGGAGCTGAAAGAACAGACAGCCCATGCAGATATCTGTAGATGTGACACAGACAAAGATCCTCACAACACTACTTTGCATATGAGGTGTATTTTACTAAGAGGGTTAGTTTCTTAGTTTCCAGGATACCCTCTATTTAGTTTCCAGGTTGGGTGCGGTCAGTCAGTCCATCACAGTCTGTCCATGGTCTGAGCAAAGGTAAGTCTGATTATGGTCCTTATTATTTATATTCCTGCTCACGGAGACAACTTTAATGGTTCGGCATTTACAGACAGGTTTAGGTTTTTATTTTATTGAAGGTTTTCAAGTGAGAGTGGACAAGGAAAGTGGAGGATTGTTGGGAAAAGATTAAAGTTCGCGAGATAACTGCTTCTTTTGGACCAGAAACAGCCCGATTTCTGGATTAGAAGAGATTTCTCGCAGTTGAAAACCAAGCTGACTGCTGTTATCGGTGGTTTTTGTCTGTCTGAATGCATCTGAGGTTGAATTTAATATTATGACAATTCAGACTCAATTGGATGATGATGACTTTTGTCTGATTTGAAACAACCTGTGAAAAAGGTATTTTATTTGGGAGAATAAAATAAATTACAAAAAACGTGCACGTGATCTGACGTAGTTTCCGGTACGTAGTGACGCATTTCAGCTTCATATACGAGAGGCCAGTTTTTCTGTCTTTCTGAAAAATATTGTGTAAAAAGACTTTTGCACAAAACATTTTAAAAAATTTATTTTGTAAAAATACATTTAAGTTTAGACTTCTTCAGGCATCTTGTGTTTAGATGTCCCGGCTGTGGCGTTATCTCGCCATCGGCTTGGCAATAGCCGGCGGCCTGGTGACTGCGGAAGCAGGTAAGCGTTAGCCATGAAGCTAAAATTCATTTGGTCTGATAAATGGAGAGCAAACAGGTTTTAAATAAACAACCAGCTCCCACAAAGATTGTTTTAGATCTGCAAAATGTGGATGAGTCTGTTTTAGGTCTGTGAGTGGAGGCTAACTGCAGCTAACCGAGGCTCCACGTGGCTCCACGTGTTTATAGCTGACTGTTAGCCGAGCAGGAAACGGATCTCCTCTGTTTTTCAGCAGTTTCTTACTTGGGCCCAGCTTTGTAATGCTCCCTCTGAAACCAGCTCAGGGTCCAGTTCAGGGTGTGTGTGTTTGTGTGTGGGGGGGTTAACTCTGACCTCTTACACCTCTACACTCTGTGTTGTTTCCTCTGCAGACCAGAACATCACAGCACAACCTGGTGAAGATGTAACCCTAAAATGTCAAGATGGAAATGAGAAAAAGATAGCAGTTTTAGAATGGAGCAGAACTGATCTGGATCCAGATCATGTTCTTTTCTTCAGAGAAGGTCTCTTTGAGTCAAAATACCAGCATACATCCTTTAAGAACCGGGTGGATCTGCTGGACAGTCAGATGAAGGATGGAGACGTGTCTCTGATTCTGAAGAATGTGACAGTGGATGATACAGGAAGATACGAGTGTAGAGTCATGCAGAGAGAAGTGGACCAGGGGACGAACAACATGGAACTCATCTGCACCCTCCATCTGGAAGTAGCTTCAGGTGAGAGAGTCAGTCTGTGGATCAGAGAGCAGCTGGTCTAAATGACTACAACAGGGGGATTCTGTTGTTAAACCTCACCTGTTTCTCACCTGCAGGGAGCAAGGATGGAGGAGACGAGGATGGACGAGATGATGATGGAGGAGATGAGGATGGAGGAGACGAGGATGGAGGAGATGAGGATGGAAGAGATAAGGATGGAGGAGATGAGGATGGAAGAGATAAGGATGGAGGAACCTCGGTTAGACAGCGCCCTGCTCTGTTTCTGCTTCCCATTTTTTTACTTGCCATTTTATGTGTTGGTGCACTTCGTTATATGAGGCTGGCTGGTGGGAGACATCCGCCTCCCCCAGAACCAGCAGCTGTTCCACAGGTGGAAGCACCTCTCATGATGGACCCCCCCGGGCCTCCTGCTGAGGCAGAGACTCCTGTGTGAGATGGATGAGAGGCAGCAGCTCCGGTCCTCCTTCAGCACAGCCGGCCTCCCTCCCACCGGGCTTCTCTTCTGGCCCCTATGAGGATGTCTTTGCCCTTGAGCAGTTTTGTGATCTGATTTGTCGTCTGTGAATAGAGCTGGAGGACTGGACGTGTCTTGTTTTCTTCCATTAGTGTCTATTTCACTCCGGGTTAAGATGGTTCCATCCAGTAGAAAGACGACAGACTCATGTGGGCTTTTGTGGGCCTTAAAGAGGCTCTCAGACCAGAGACCCAGCAGAGGAAAGACCCCCGATGCCACTCAGACTCTGTTCTGAATGGATTTTAAAGGGGTCAAAGAAATTCATGGTGATTTTGGCACTTTTTAAAATCAAATCTAATTTGATTTAATTGAAAAACAAATCATTTCAAATAATTATTCAATTAAATCATTCAATTAAATTAAATATTTTAAATAACTGAAATAATTTAAATACATAAATAAAATTCCTGTTGCTGTTTATTAAATTACATAAATTAAATTAAATCGTTAAATACAATTATTTAAATATTGTAAATAAATTAAATAATTCAAACAAATACATGATTTCAATAACTTAAAGTAAAAAAATTTTTTTTAATACATTAATAAACGTCCTGGTGCTGCCCTTTGGCTTCTTCTTGTCCACTGAGCCCCAGCGTGGACATAAAGCTCAGAGGTCAGAGGTCAGGGACACCTCCTAAAAACAGAGACTCAGAGTATTTGATGGCATTTTTATTTGAATTAAAGCTCCGCAGAGGAAACTAAACATCGCTGGTGAGAAACAGCTCTGACCAACCACGGGCTGCCTCACAGGTCATGTGACCGACCCGCCTCAGGGCCACAGGAGGCCCGGATTCAGGTCCCAGGCCCGGCTTTCGGGGTCGGGCCTCCTCTGACAGTCTGGTCCAGGAAGTGGCTTCAGTCCGGTTCCTCCTGGAGGCGCCTGAACGCAGAGCGAGGAGGCCTTCCTTCTCACAGCGGCGGGAGTCCGAGTGCGGCCACGGCTCGCAACATGGCGGCTAGGAGGCGGCGTCTGGCCGGTGACGAGCGGTGCGGCTTCGGCCCCGCGTGGCGCCGGCGGGACGCTCACTTTGCGGTGGCGCCGGAGGGGCGTCGGCCTGTGGCGTGCCGGCGTCGCCCACCAGCTCACGCAGGAACTTGAACTTGGACAGGAAGAGCTGCCAGACCACATACCAGCCTGAGGAGAGAGGGGGGGGTCAGGTTCTGACTCCAGACCGGTTCAGGACGCCATCAGAACCACAGAAAACGCTTTAACCCCCAAATGTGGAGCTCCTGAACTCTTGTTTACACTTCTTTCTGTAATATCTGCTAAAACAGAGTTCATTTAGTGGAAATCAGAGCTGGTTTTCGAGGGAAAACGCAGGAATTCAAAGTTTAAATTTAAGATATTCTGATTCAGTCGACTGGTTTCAGCACATCAGCACAAAGTTTCCTTAATTTCTGGATGCTGGAACAGAGCTGATTTCAAGGAAATGAAGCCTCAATCTGGAAGCAAACCAGCAGGACTCTGAGTTCTCTGGACTCCTGTTTGGATCAGAGGCTCAGATGTTTACCTCTGGGGGGTAAAGCGTTCACATTGTGGGTCTAATTAGAGGACTTTGTAGTCTCTCCTGGCTCTGGCCCCGTTTCCCTGACCTTTGGGTCTCTTCCTGCTGAGGATCAGCTTATCTGTCAGCTCTCAGAGTTCAGGCCTCGTACCAACGGCCTTCAGAGGCTGCCTGAACCTACTGTGACCCAGACTGCACAGCCTTTGCTCTGGATCTGCTCCACGTGCTCTTTACGGGCCCAAAACAGAGCTGGAACATCTCAGGAAGGTCCTCCAAAGCTCTCAGATAAACTAGGTTTTTCTGGTGAATCAACTTCAGTTTAAGATTTTCGCACATTTATTTTGTTTTTCTTTTAATGTTTTTAGTATAATTCTTATTTTAAAAGTTTCTTTTGTACATTTCTTATTTAAGAAAAAAATAGTTAACTTTTTAAAAGTGTAGATAATTCTTTTCTATGATTTTTTCTTACATTCCTAATAAAAATCATGAATTTGGGGGACATTGTCTTTTTGGCCGGTGAATTATGATCCACAAACATCCATCTGGTCTTTTTAAATCTGTTCACTTTTAAGTTTTTTGCACAATCATTTCTCCTTCTGTGATGAGCCAAGTCATTCATCTGTGGCTTCGGGCTGCAGAAGAAGTGGGTTCAAGACTACAAATAAAGTCTAACCATTCACATTTATGCAGAAAAAACTCAGATTTCTGGTAAAAACGCAGGTTTTCTTTGAGGGAAAAGGCCCGCTTAGGGCACCATGGGTTCGGGCCGGACCTGGACCTGAACCTGGACCTGGACCCTGACCTGAACCTGAACCTGGACCTGGGGTTTTGGACTCACCAAACAGCATGAAGAGCAGTGCGCACACGAGCGTGGCCACGACAACCAGCAGCGCGAGGCCGAG